CTCGATTCCTCCAATATTACACCTCTTAAACAGGTCTACGTTAGATGTCCTATCTTGAAGGTTAACTCCACAGATGGCACGCAGACAGTTTTTTTGGAAACATCCAGCTGGCGTATAGGATACCTGCATGGAATTCACGACTCTGAGGCGTATAAAAGGATGGCAAGGACAACAGCTCTGTAAACCCGAATTTTCGTATCCAGTCGAATACCCCGCTCATTCCACAAGCGATGGTGAAGTTTGCCGAAAGCACTGGCAGCCTTAGCAATCCGATTCATGATTTCATCATCTAAAGTTCCACTGTAGTTAACTTTGCTACCAAGATAGGTGAAAGACTTTACATCGTTCAGGGCTTTATTTCTACTTTCAAACTTATATTTATATATTACATATCCAGTAATCATAAAAATTTATGAAAATAATCCAAGTAATCTAACGTTTTATTGAATTTTAGGTACTTAAACTTACTATAGTTACCAATCTTATTTTCTGAAAATAGCTTTTAGGAAAGTCCGTATTTACAAAAATCGGCACGTATACACACACAAATAGAGACACACACACAAAATATACAAATATTTTTATTAAATACTTGGGTCGCTGAAATGTAGTAAGCTTTGCCATTTATGATTAGTAAATATAGTTTTCACTTTCATATGAAAGGCTGAAGATAATATAGAATTTTAAAAGATTTAAAGAAACAATGTTTTTCTAATTAAAAACAAATGAAACAATTTATTATTCATCGAAAGATTTTTTTCTTAAGACAATAGTGTACTTAATATAGCTTATTTATTGTTATGGTCCGGTTCTTTGTACCACGGTGATAGTCCAAGGTAGAACCAATAAAGAAGAACTCGAACACAGGTATGGAATAACACAGGTATATTACAAACAGGAATATATACAGAGAAGTAGAAGTGTTAGTATGAACAATCAGGTTTAGTAGAGAGTACAATGTAGTCTCGACCAGTATCACTATTCCAATGTCTTGCAGTAATTGTCTGAACGCGACTCTGTTTCGGACTGCCTCTACTCGACTCTTGACTCGACTTGAACTACTGACTTGAACTACTGACCGACGATATTCAGTCACCCCCCCACGAGGGTGTCATGTGGCACAAGGCCTTTTTAACGTGGGTATTCCCGAGCCATTAGGCTCGGCCAAAAAATAGCCCATTTGAACCCATATAAACGGGTTCAGGGCCGGTTTACCTCCCGAAGGAGACTCCGCCCTTCGGCGTAGCCTCCTTCGGGTTCCTCCCCCCGTAGGAAGAGAGTTCAAACCGAGCAGTCTGTTCAAAAGTGAACTACTGACCGACGATATTCAGTCACCCCCACGAGGGTGTCATGCGTGGCACAAGGCCTTTTAACGTGGGTATTCCCGAGCCATTAGGCTCGGCCAAAAATAGCCCATTTGAACCCATATAAACGGGGTTCAGGGCCGGTTTACCTCCCGAAGGAGACTCCGCCCTTCGGCGTAGCCTCCTTCGGGTTCCTCCCCGCCCGTAGGAAGAGAGTTCAAACCGAGCAGTCTGTTCAAAAAGTGAACTACTGACCGACGATATTCAGTCACCCCCACGAGGGTGTCATGTGGCACAAGGCCTTTTTTTTCCCGATCAGTGGGCATTCCCCTCCCCCGAGCAATCAGGCTCGGCCAAAAAAAAACCGAGCCCATTTGAACCCCGTATAAACGGGTTCATGGCACAAAGGCTGGGCCCCCGTTTTCCTCCCCGTATAAAGGAGACTCCGCCCTTCGGCGTAGCCTCCTTCGGGTTCCTCCCACCTGCAGGAAGAGAGTTCAAACCGAGCAGTCTGTTCAAAAGTGAACTACTGACCGACTCCTTGCCTACTCCTGAGGCTCAGTATTTATTAAGTATGGAATAGTCCATTATTATTATTATTATGGGTAAGATCCCATAACATTCATAAAAGCAATTAAAAGCCTTTGTAGTTAAATAATTTCATAGTTGTATTGTTTCTTTATTATTTTACGATTCAAAGCAGATTTTTGGTAAATAGTTTTTTTTATCTTCTGTTTTTTGAATAAAATTGATGATTTAAATTCTCCAAAGAGTTCTCCTTTTAACTAATATAAATATGAAGAGTCTGAAATTTTAATTTCTCGGAATTTCATAAAATTAAGAGGGGGTAACAGATGTAAAATGTATTTTTACTAAGATTTTCTAAAAAAAATAATAAAATAAATAAATAAAAAATGATTTCATCCATTTGTGAATAAATCCTGAAAATTTCATTAAAATCTGACAGTTATTTGATTTTTGCAAGAATTTCCAAAACAATTTGTTTTTGACGACAAAAAAGAAGCTAAAAACTAGAAATCTTTGGCCCACCCGCTGACGCCAAAAAATCAAGAGATTTAACCAAAATTTCCAACGTGCGAGAAAGGTGGAAAATTTTAATAAAATAATCAAAAAATACATTTTTTCTTTTCTATTAATTAATAATAACATAAATATTTTGACGATAAAAATTTGTTTTTATCAAGTTTGTGCTTTTTTTTTCATCATGGAATGCTCTATTTTTAGAACATTTTGGGTGGAGGTACGTATATATATCGTGAGAATTAACTGAAATTCACATGAACCTAGTGACACAAAATTCGTTAAAAACGATTTTAGAAGTACTTTAATATGAACAATCACTAACCTACCTATTTTACCTTCTTCACCCACCGAGCTACTTACCTCACCGCCATTTTCATAATTCCAGATTGTCCCGACTGGGCGTGATTTCCTGTGGCGTTAGCATCTTCTTTTATTTAACTAATACGAACGTAACTTTGATAACTTGTCGAGTTAGAAATTGGACACTTCACTATCTTCGTAACGGTCCTTCTGGTCGAGACATGTCGGCACCAGTTCAGATCTCAAGCAGTGTGGAAGAGAGAGAGAGAGAGAGAAAGAGAGAGAGAGAAAGAGTGAGAGAGAGAAAGAGAGAGTGAAAGCGAGAAAAAAAAAGACAGAGTGAGAGCGAGATGTGGCAATAAGAGACGTTTATATATTATATGTATGCAATTATGTTTGTTTTTTCTGTATATTTTTCTTCATATTATATATATATATATATATATATATATATATATATATAAATATGTATGTATGTCTGCGAGTGATAATTTAAGAAAGGAACAGTGGCTGCAAAAGAGGGAAGAATTAAGAGAAAATGAAAAGCCAGAAGAATGCAAAACAGTGGAAAATACAAAGAAGAAAGAGAAGCAATGTAAGAAAGAGCATGACGAATGTTGCACAGGTTTCAAATAAATAAATAAAGCCGACAAAAAAATGGAACATATAACAGAAAGAAGATGGGAAATTAAAGAAAGAAATAGATGAAATAAAAGCAGATAATGAATGAAAAGAGAAAAGAAAGCAAGAAAGAGAGAGAAAGAATGGGAAGAAAACAAGAAAAAGCAGCGAAAGAAGATAGATAGATAGATAGATAGATAGATAGATAGATAGATAGATAAGGATTAGAGACAGGTAGATAGATAAATAGATGTAAATAGAGTGAGATATATAAGGGTGATAGATAGATAGATAGATAGATAGATAGATAGATAGATAGATAGATAGAGAGATAAGGATTAGAGATGGATGGATAAGGATTAGAGATGGATGGATAGATAGATAGATAGATAGATAGATAGATAATGGATTAGATAGATGGATGGATAAGGATTAGAGATAGATGGATAGATTAGATAGATAGATAGATAGATAGATAGATAGATAGATAGATAGATAAGGATTAGAGATGAATGGATAAGGATTATAGATAGATAGATAGATAGATAGATAGATAGATAGATAGATAGATAAGGATTAGAGATGGATGGATAAGGATTAGAGATAGATAGATAGATAGATAGATAGATAGATAGATAGATAGATAGATAGATAAGGATTAGAGATGGATGGATAAGGATTATAGATAGATAGATAGATAGATAGATAGATAGATAGATAGATAGATGTGAATAGACTGAGATAGATAAGGATTTAGAGATAGATAAATGTGAATAGATTGAGATAGATAGATAGATAGAGAAATAGCTGTGAATAAACTGAGATACACACACACATATATATATATATATATGTGTGTGTGTGTGTGAATAACTACAAAAGGAAAACTAAGGAGTTTCGCTCTCTGATGGACTATCAAGGCAAATGTATTTTTTTAATAATGTATTGAATATTTATATTATTTTTTTTTAATTGAAAGAAAGCGCTTAAATTGATAACCTCTTAAGTAAAATATATAATACATGAATTAATTTCAGACTAAAATAATCTAAGTATTAATTACATTATAAAAAAATATTCAAAAACATCCTTCATTCACATTTGTTTACTAAATTACGTCATGCATGAACTAAACTGCCTATCTTTGCCAGTCAACCTTGCGTATTCTGCAAGTGTGTCCTTAGGTATAAGTTCAAAAAGAAAGAAAGAATTAACTAAATAAATAAATAAAGAAAGAAAGAAAGCGGAAAGAGGTAGATTGCACTTTTAATGACTGGCTCCCATATTTTTTAACACGGTTTTGATTGGGCTGGGTGTCTATGAATCTGATTCCAATTTAAAAATTAATGGTACCCCAAGGAACTGCATGGAACTTTTGGGAATATTTATCCCCGAAAGGTTCCTGAGATTAGAGATCATTCAAAACTTACCGCCCTTCCACCTCACGTACAATATCCAACTTTGTCATCTCGACGTTTATTTGCATACTTTCTACCTGTGTTTATGAAACTGAAGTTGGTACGACAATATACGAGATAATCAGAATACATTTTGGGGGTCCATCTTCTAAGTGTGCAAATTTTACTAGCCTTTCAATTCAGCATTTAAGACACTGGCTTAATACCTCAACTTGAATAATGGCCACTTCTGGAATATGAATGTAGCCATTTTAAGTAAAATATTAGTCACTATATATGCTTATATTTTTTAATTTTGGACTAATTTCTTAAAATGTTCTTTCTTTCTTTCTTTCTTTCTTTCTTTCTTTCTTTCTTTCTTTCTTTCTCATCTCTACCTTTTCCCATCTGCTATGCTATCGTTTTTCTTACTTTCTTTTTATTTATCTCACCCAATGTTGCTTTCTTTCTTCATTTCTTTTATTTTTTCCTACGTCCTTTTCCTTCGTCATTTTCTTATTTCCTTTCTTTTTTTGTCTTTTGTTTTCTTTATTCCTTGTCATTTCTCTCGTCTTTTTCTTTCTTCCTTTCTTTCTTTATTTCCTACTTCCTTTTCTTTCTTTCTTTCTTTCTTTCTTTCTTTCTTTCTTTCTTCCTTTTATTCATTCTTTCTTTGCTTTTTGCTTTCCTTTTCATTTCTCTCACTTTTTCTCTCTTTTTTTTCATCGTTTCTTTATTTCCTACTTCCTTTTCTTTCATTATTCCTTTCTTTCCTTCTTTCTTTCTTTGTTTACGGCCACATTCCATTAAAACACCGGTTGCCATACGATTACCGAAGTTACCCAACGTAGAGCCTGGTCAGTAACTAGATGGGTGACCGCTTGGGAATACCAAGTGTTGGAAGATTGGATGTGCGGGTGGTGTAATGGATAAAGGCTCGGAATTTTTAATCGGAGAGCCAAGTTCCAATTGCGGTTATATTCATAGGTTCCCAAGTAGGCATCTACGCGGACGTCACTACAATTTACTCCTGCCTCAAAAACAAAGCTTGTGTCGCTGACAAAACTAACCTGGCCGTTTGTCTCGAAAAGGACCTCCAATCGGTTGTGGACTGGGGCAGGAATTGGCTGGTTAACTTTAATGCCTCAAAAACAAAACTGTTCTCTATTACTCACCACAGAGAACCATCCTTCCCCCCCCCATTAGAATGTCTGACGCTCAAATCCACGAGAGCACTTCTTTGCGACTGGTCGTCTCACATTGACTGCTGACCTGAGATGGAATAAATACAATGAGTCAATAGCTTCGTCCACCGCAAGGAAAGTTGGCTCCCTGGGCCGCGCCGGGAAATTTTTTCTCGCCGGAGTCAATCCTTCAAATCTACAAGTCAGCCATTCGCCCTTGCATGGAGTATTGCTGCCATATATGGTCTGGAGCCCCTTCTGTTTGTCTCAAGGTCCTTGATAAAATCCAGAGACGGATATGCAATGTAATTGGCCCTGATCTGGCGTCTCGTCTGCAGTCGCTCTCTCACAAATACTTTTACGGTAACTGCTCCGACGAGCTGCTTTCGCTGGTTCCCAGATTTCATGAATTTAAGCGTACAACTAGACTGGCATCTCGCTCTCACCCTTTCACTGTCGAAATTGTTAAATGTAGCCGTCTCTTTTACTCCAGTAGCTTCATTTCTGGCCTGTGGATCTCCCTCCCCTTTCCTTGTTTCCCTGATAGCTATAAACTTCAACTATTCAAATGTAATGTCAATCGACGACTCCAGATGCCCTGTTCTATCCCCTATCCTTCTCTTCATCTTTTCCTCTGTCACTCCTCTTTGCTCTCGCTCCAACACTCTGTAACCCCTTGAGTGCTAGTGGCTTTCCGCTTTGCTTGGGGTGAAAGGCTTAAAAAATCATTTACACTCTTGGGAAAGTTATGAATCCACCTCTCCCCCCACCCAGGTATAGGTTAATTAAAAAAATTTACCCACTAAACCATTATTATCTTTAAAAAAAATCTTGTTAGAATCTAAAAGTATTTTCTGGTTTTAAATAACCTTCAAAGGGTTGATAGACCATAAAAAAACAAATCACTCAAGTTTTCTTTCTTTATTTATTTCATACTTTCTTTCTTTCTTTCTTTCTTTCTTTCTTTCTTTCTTCGTTTTGTTGTTTTCTTTATTTCCTACGTTTCTTTCTTTCTTTATCTTTCTATTCTTTCTTTCTTAAGAAAGATAGAGCCTTAGGGAGAAGAAAGAAAGATATTGTAAAGTTAGTAAATGAAGGGAACACAACTTCGGAAATTGTGGCAAAGTTGAACAGAGATCACAGAACAAGGGAAAAGTAAAATTATTGGAAAGAAATAAGAAATAAACTGCATTTAAGAATGTCAAAAGCGCCCTTGAAAAACACACAAGGATGCTGTGCATAAAGAAAATATTTGAAGAATTTTATGTTGCAAATTTGAGCAAAGAAAACTGATCCAGAATATTAAAACACACACACACACACACACACACACACACACACACACACACACACACACACATATATATATATATATATATATATATATATATATATTAGAATGTGCAGCTTATCTTGTATATCATAAAGAAACAATTTATACAAAGAATTAAATAGTAATGTTGAATGACAGAACTAATTTCAACTCGGAACTAACTTCCCCTCGGAATTAATTTCAACTCGGAAATAATTTCAAATGGGAATTAATTTCAACTCGCAACTAATTTCAACTCGATTTAAAATCAAAGTTATCAATAACCGTGAATTCCTAAACAAAATTCAATGAGTTGGTGTTCATTTTTTAATTTAGACTTAAAAATCCTTATTAGATAATTCAGAATTCGTCGTTTCTGCAACTTTCATTCTTTTTTGTTGCAAATAAATAAAAAGGTACTTTTTTTATTAATTTTTTTCATTTAAATCTCATACAATAAAAATGCAATGTTCTTTGTAGCAAGAACAGTAGATTGCTTAGCTGTTTTTTGTAAAAAAAAAAACTCGTTCAAAAGAAGCCGTTATTGATCAAAATTTAAGAAAATCAATAAATTAAATTTTAATTTCGTTTAAAAACTTCACAGATTTACTGAAATTACGTGTTGAAATTAGTTCCGAGTTGAAATTAATTCCGAGTTAAAATTAATTCTGCACCCCACAATGTTAATGTAGTTAATGGCGAAATCACTTCGCTAACAAGACTCAATGAGACATTAACTTACTATCAATTCCTTGAATAAGATCCTTATATTCGTGTAGTTATCAGATGGAAGACCCAGGCCAAGAACTTTCGACAGTTTCAAAATGTCATCTTCAGGGCGAAATTTTCTTATATGTAGGCAAATACTAAGACGAAATTTGTGTAGAACGAAAGATTTTTTTTTAATTATGCTATTTATTGACCGTCGAATATATGCTTTGGAGCGTGCATATTGTGACGATAGAGTTCTGTTCAAATCGATCAAGTAAGAATTTGTTTGAATTTTGAAAAGTTAGAAATCCTCGCAGTTATCTTATATTTATATGTATTTATCTGTTAAAATGAAATGGACTTAGTGTAATCCACTTAGTAGGGTAAAAATGTCTTAGTAGTTTTCCACAGAATTTAAGATTCTAATTATTACTCTGCTGCGGATCATAAAAATAATTAAATCTTATATTATTTTTCCGAAGCTTGTGTTGCTCGAGACAAAGAGTATGAGTGACTTTTTAAAAAAATCGTTTAACATTTTAGATTCTCCACCTTAAGTGTCCGTGTTTTGAGATGGAATTCCTTCAGAATAGGTAGAAAATATATGAAAGAACTGTTTTAAACACACACAACACATTTTTGGTATTCCTTTGAAGAAGCCGTAGAACCGAAATGCATTATCGTATATCATTTTCGTGACATACTTTCATGAATGTTTCTCCAAATATCAATAACTTTATATATATATATATATATATATATATATATATATATATATATATATATATATATATATATTATTATTATTATTATTATTATTATTATTTATTTATATTACAATGAATCATATATATATTTATACTACAATGAATCATTCATACAAAAAGTAGATTAGTAAAGTTAATGATATAAAATGGCGAAATCTCTTCGCAAACAAAATTTTAAAGTTGCATGAACCAACGAATCAATCGATGAATTTTATCATCCTTGTTTTAATAACTAAAAGATGTATAATTTTTTTTTTTAAATCTGCAAGTACTTTCAACTGTACATTCAGTCATCTTCAGGCATGGAAATTATTTTGTTCTTGGTAAAATTCAGGTAGCACCCGAGACGAAGAAATTAAATGCGAATCGAAATATGTTTTTTTTTTTTTAAATGTATTATTGTTAACGGATACAAACTTTTGGAGCATGCAGTTGCAACGCTAATGTTGAAATTTTTGGAAAATTTAAGAGAGTGCTTTTTTGACTAATATGGTAATTTGAGAATTTTTTTGTTGTAGGAGTTTATCAAAAACTCTCAAATTAGGGCAAGATGTGAAAATAATACTCTATTGTCTGATCTGAGAGGGAGGGTGAGAGAGTTAGAGAGAGAAAGATTTGGTGATACACGTAATTTCAGGAGGGGTACAGGGAGACGTCCATTTTTCCCGAGTCTTTAACGATGGATCGGAGTGAACTTGAGCCATCCCAGGTAAGACGATAAACTACATCCACATCTTGGGTAAGACGATAAACTCCATCCGACAGCATGGCTTTTGATAAGAAGATTTTGAGGAGTGTGGAACCTCCTCTTAATTGCTGGTTTTCCCAGGTCCACTCTAACACGGGGTGGTAGCACCTGTCAGGGTCCCAGCTATGGGCAAATAGTTAACCCCCTTAAAAGGGGCCAAAAGACTATGAAATTATAAAAACAGGTTTTAATACTAGCATTAATTTTTTTTGAAAATTTTTTACCAGCAATACATTTTTGAAAAAAATATCACAGCAATATATATTTTTTTTAAATATTACCAGCAATAGATTTTTGAAAAAAAATATTACCGGAAATACATTTAAAAAAAAATATTACCAACAATACCTTTTTGAAAAAAAAATATTACCAGCAATACATTATTGAAAAAATATTACCAGCAATACATTATTGAAAGAAAATATTATCAGTAATACATTTTTGAAACAAAATATTACCTGTAATACATTACTGAAAAAAAATATTATCAGTAATACATTATTGAAAAAAATATTACAAGTAATACATTTTTGAAAAAAAATGTTACCAGTAATACATTACTGAAAAAAATATTGCCAGCGATACATTTTTGAAAAAAAATATTACCAGTAATACATTATTAAAAAAAATATTACCAGTAATACATTATTGAAAAAAATATTACCAGCAATACATTTCTGAAAAAAATTATTACCAGTAATACATTATTGAAAAAAAATATTACCAGTAATACATTATTGAAAAAAAAATATTACCAGCAATACATTTCTGAAAAAAAATATTACCAGAAATACATTATTGAAAAAAAAATATTACCAGCAATGCATTTTTGAAAAAAAAAATTACCTATAATACATTATTGAAAAAAAATATTACCAACAATACATTTTTGAAAATAAATATTACCGGTAATACATTATTGAAAAAAAATATCGCCAGCAATATATTTTTGAAAAAAAAATGCTTGAGTCCCGATAGGCAAGAGCCACACTAAGAGTACAACTTTTTATCATGACTGAAAAAAACACTGGTTCTGTACTGTGATGATGAAATATTACTAGCTTGCTTTTGAAGCTGTTGAATGTTACAAGACAGCCCCCTCTAATTGATCAGCGCGAATAAGATCAAAGGAGAGATCAGGTTCTGGCCATCGAGATTTGTGGTGATGTTACCATAAATTATGGAATCGTTTTCATATATATTGACTACTGATCTGAGAATATTCTTAGGCAAATCGTTAGCAGAAAAATGATAAGAGCGAGGAGGGGGCCTTTGGGGAGCCTCAGAGGCCATGCCACTACCAATGACCATCAGGGGATCCATCCCAGAAAAAGAACTTAACCCCACTCCACAAATAAAAAACTCCCTCAGAAACGGTATAGCTGGGAGGTTTATTTCGCAGTCTCCTATGTAACAGCTTTTCAAAAGCCATCAAGATATCTAAGGCGACTGTTCACGTGTTGCATGTATTATCAAGCACCGAACTAATTATATGCGTAATGACTGATAAGACAATAGTAGAGGAATCTAAATTGTCGCTGTCGTTACTGTTGAAGCGATTGACAACATTCTTGCAGATAATAGCCCATCCTTGGTTTAGGCGTTAACCGTATGGCCATAGCGATTCTGGTTAATTTTTATTTAGCGCCATATCAACACCTCTATGAGTAAGTTAATGACTCAATCTAAATATTTTGTACGAAATATAATAGTTTTTTTTTGTTTGTTTTTTGTTTTTAGATAACAATGGTTTTAGTGATACTGGTTTTACTAATTAATCCATAGATGGGGAGAACAGTTGGATTTCTACATTTCCCAAGGGTATTTGCATGTATATAATGAACCAAATAAGAATTGGAACTCGGCTCTCCGATTAGCAATCCATTTCATTACCCACGCATCCAAACATACAGTACCTGTTATTTCCAAACGGTCATCCATCTAGGTACTGACCAGGCTCGACGTTGCTTAACTTCGGTGATCGTACGGGAACCGGTATTTCAACGTGATATAGTCGTAAGCCCCTATAGCGATTCTGAAGTTTTTCTTTTATAAGTAGAGGTAAGTAACCCTGAATTGTATAATATGTTGTAAAATGTGCACAAATATATTCTATTAATATTTAAACTTACTTTTAAAAATTTCAACGAAGATGATCTTTTGAGAATTGTATCCCTTTAATTGAAAAAGTGTGACATACTGATATTGGTAATTATTATATAGTAAAAGAAGATGGTCTAATGAGAGTTGTATCCCTTTAATTATAAAAAAAGTGTGACACACTGACACGCTGGCATTGACATTTATTATATAGAAAAGGGAAATGAGCTACTGAGAGTTGTGTCCCTTTAATTGAAAAAATGCGACACACTGACACGCTGGCATTGGCATTTATTATATAGAAGATGAGCGAGTGAGAGTTGTGTCCTTTTAATTGAAAAAATTGTAACACACTGACACGCTGATGTAGTTTATCGTCATACCAGGGACGGTGCTTGATTTAATTTCTCAGCGTAAACAAAGCAATTTAAAAAGGAATCCGACATTTTTTATTGCTTCAAACGTTAGTATAGTTGTTTGAGTTAATAAAAAATGTGACGTCGACCCCTGGTCGCAGCGCCAACTGTGACGTTCTATTCTTGTCTACCACGGCACCAACTGTGACGTCCCTAAACAACACCAATTGTGACGTACTCGCCGCGGCGCCAGCTGTTCGCTCCTCGCTGCTCCGTTCGGGTGTCGCTGCTCCAAACGTGACGTCCGCCTGTCGCGTCAGTCGTGTTGTCTCGTCCTGTGACGACCAACTGGCTTGGTATCGGTCGCGGCACCCAAATGTGACATTCTAACCTTTTGGTGATTCGGGTGGGAATCTGGTTAGATTTGATATCAGCCTCGTCGTTCCCAACTCGCTTCCAACGCCTGGTTACCAAGGTAACTGCATTGATCCCCAGTCTGCCTACCCACGTTGTGAATTGATCTTAAGCAGACGAGATCAAACAGTGGTTGGGGCCGTAATGCAAACCGAGTTCAACGGGGGTGATACCACACAAATATGCATAAAAGAAAATAAAATGAAAACTCAAAAAGTTCAAAGTATCAAAGAAAAAGGTAACAAACTTTATGTCTAGTTGTTCGATACATAGGACTGCATCTATCTCCTGACCCGTTCTATGGATTGTGACACGTCCTTTTCCGTTAGGCGAGTTTTAACGCGTCAAGTTGTTTGCTCTCTAAGAAATTGGTTTTTCGGTGTGTCTTCGGACGAAAGTCGAAAAAAAAAAATTATTTCGGTGGTCTGGATCTAAGTCCCTCTTCAAAATAATTGTTCTTGGGTTGAAGAGGAGTGCGGAATTTGCGTGAATCTTGGTCAGCTATCTGCGAGGCGGCTTCAACTGGAGACTGACTCTTCGCTGCAACTCCAACTCAAACTGAAATTGGAACTGGAACTCACTGGAACTGATTTCTGCTCGTTGTGGCTTCGCTTATATGGACAATAATTCGATAATTCTAAATACATATCCACCTCTCTGGTTAGGAATTTCCACTTTTTTCCATTTTTGGGAACCTTTCCTCACTCCCACCTTCTCACCATACTTCAGAGAGCGTGAACTGCCCTCCCCACTTCTTCGTAGCCGCTTCTCATACCTACACTCTGGATGGGCGGCGACAGCCTCCTTCGTGCGTCACGTGATCACCACTTGACCAATGATGTCTTAGTCGGGCGTGGACGAATCCGCGGCTTTGTTTCAGGAAAAAAAAATATCTTGCTTAACTAAAAAAATTATCCCTTCTTTTCCTTTTCTTCCCTTAATCGCCGTTATCATTTCTCTAGCCGCAAACGGGACAATATGAACAATGGCGGTCATAACTCTTGTTCTACGTGGTTTTCGTCAGGTATTTTATCGCTAATTATCCGAATGGGTGGTCTTCTTAACACGGCCAACCGTCGCCCCAAAAAGACATTTCTAAATTCCCATTCATTTACCTTTGGTACATATTTCTGATAACATAATTTTATTATCGCAGGCCAAGGATGTTCCGTCGAAGGAAATCGGTCAGCGGACACTCGTGGGTGGCTTTTAATTTTTCATATCTGTCCAAAGTCTTTTTAGTTGCCTGTTTTTCGTCACTTATCGAAATAACATTTTCATTTGAATTTTCTTTTTGGCCAGTCGGTCTGTAGTTGATAATAAGATGCCTTCCCGTACCAATAGTTTGTTTTCATATCCTTAGATAACACAGCCGTCCTTAAAACATATCTGATTCTTTCTTTCCCTTTTTCTTTTTTACTCAGAATTTCCCTGTCATTGTAATGACACCCTTTCGCCATTTGTTACTTATCAAAATATCCCTTATCGATTGTCTCTTAGCCGTGTGTGTGTTCTGCTTATTATCTACGATTCGGTCCTTAGCCTCTCCGTTCCTTCTTTTCTTTCTTTTCTTTTTCTGCCTCGTTAAATGGTGCCACAATATGTCAGATTAAGAATAAAATCATTATTTTATATTTCTCTGACAAAGTGCAAAAAAAAGTTTTCGGGTGAAGCTTTTCGTAATTTAAGGCTTCATCGGATTAAAGTCATGTATAATGTGATCTGATTACACATGCCCATGGATGAGAGGGCACGCTGATATTTTAAATTTAAATATTTTAATTTTATCTTATATATATATATATATATATATATATATATATATATATATATATATATATATGTGTGTGTGTGTGTGTGTGTTAAGACATTTTATGTTTATACATTCTTTTTATAGATACAAATATATAAGTAAATGCTCTCTTTATAATAAACAGTATTAAACAACATTTACTGGCCTGAATGTCCGAGAAATTTTCATAGAAAATATTCGTCCTCCGACAGGATTTGAACCTGCATCCTATACAGAACTAACGCGCCTTTTATACGAGGGCGGATTGAATTGGAACTGTTTCTATAAAAAGAAAACAATACATCAATTCATCATCTAATCTCCTTCGAATACCCCCCCCCAGTCTGAAGCCACACGCTTTATCCACAGTTGTTTCCATGGATGGATGAATTCCTAGAACTGCTTTATCGCTTTCACTTGTATTTCCTCAACGTCTTGAAATTCTGTTCCTTTCAAGTAGTATTTGATTTTTGCAAAGCGGAAAAAGTCGCAAGGAACGAGACGAATATGGTGGTTGTCGACGCCGGGGAGTGCCGTGCTTAGCTAAGATGTGCTGCAGAGCCATGGTCACAGACTGAAGCTCTGTGGTGTAGCGAGACGACCACACTGTACATACTTTCCTTTCAAGCACTCCTATAAACAACGACAATGAGCGAGAACATTATACACTGTATCCCGATACTTTTTGATCAGACCTCGTATATGCGTAAATAAATGGGAAGATGGAGTAAATTATTATTAATGCGAAGGATTTTTCAGAAAAATAAAGATCTTATTGATGTAATCAATCTTATATATCAAAAGGATGACGTATTGAAAAACACAAAAAGTACTATTTGCAGTTTGCATTGAAACGTTAAAGACACCGAGTCTCTAAATTTAAATTTTGATCATTCCGATGCAGTTCAATTTTCAACCAATCCCGATGGATGGATATTCCGTCAGTGAGGTCCCGTTCTTCTCCTTTACTTTTCCATCCTACAGTCCTTCTCTTATTACTTCTTTCTGTCCCAGTCTCATGACAAGACAAGAAAATACAAAACCTTTGTCTTCGGGCAGAGAGTGACAAGACATCGTTCTTCGGGCGGAGGATGACTCAGTCGGGCTCTGTTTTCAGAGACTCAGCAGAAAAAACAGGTCCGGGTGGAAATGCTTGACCTTGTGTTGCATCTAGTCTGGATTGGGGCGACTGGTAAATAACAGTCTGTCATAGGGTCGCGACAAGACCTCTATCTTCGGGCGGAGGATGACTTAGTCGAAGTTCTTTCTTGGGATAGAGGCTGAGAAAAACAGACAACTTCGATGCCTGGCTTGCTGTTGACAAGACCTCTGTTTTCGGGGAGAAGGTGACTCACTCGGGGTTCTGTTTCTGGATAGAGACAGCTGAGAAAAAATCAGAGAAGTACTGTACCTGAGTACACTTTTGCGGGGACTGCGTAAATTTTGACCAGTGAACCGGGTGGAAACGCTCGGTTTCCCCACAAATAACTTGACCTTGTGTCGTATCTCTTCCGCAGTGAAGTGACCGGTAAACACCAGTCCATTGGAGTGAGTCTAGAAGAATTTCTAATGACGACACGGCGAGTAGTCTAAACCAGACACTATTATAACCGCTAGGTGATAATTATAATAGGTCCACCATGCTACGCACATCGTAACGAACCACCTTAATTTTCTTTGTATTACATTTGTGAGAAGTAAGTTCCACTCGAGCAGGTTCTTGCCGCGAACCACTATTCTGTGGAAGCGATTCCCAAGTGGTTGTTTTACCGATCACTACAATTTTAACCACTTCAAGTCTAGGGTTACCGTTATCTTCCCCACATATCCACAAAAACTGTGCTTTTTAGTCTGTAACATTCTACCTCGAGTTTCTCCCGGTCTTTTGTACTGGTTGGACCTCGATGTACAAGCAAAGAAAAACTTTCTATGAGTTTTTTTATTTCTGCTATTGTTTGTAATTATCGTGTTAATGGGGTGGGAAGTTTCTTACTTCCTCCTATAAAGGACGATAACTCAACATACAATGGAGTTCCGTCCCTTGTTCGCTTGTGGGAACGCGCCACTTCTGAATCCAACATGGTGATAAGCTGACACGCACGTGGAACTCATGGTCTAAATCCAAACAAATCCTTGCTGTTCTCAGGCAGTAAATAAATAAAAGTTATTTTATTATATGTTAAATAACACTTCTCTTATTTTCGTTCGTTTTTATTCATCCCAACAACCTGGGATATAACATATCGCATATTTTATTGACATTTCTTTTGTGAGTAAAAGACAATATGTAGCATGATCGTGTACATGAATTTAGCGTATGTGATTTCGAAATTAGTTCGCTTTAAATTCATTAATGAATTTAATTAAATTTCTTTCTCGTTTCATCTGTATCGTAATTTGTAAACCGAAATCATGAACAGTCCTTTTACGATAAACATCTAATGAACTGAGTGTATATATCATTTTCAAAGACCCCTTTTAAGTTTCTATCTTTTAGTAATATATAATTCATTATTATTATTATTATTATTATTATTATTATTATTATTTTATTATTATTATTATTATTATTATACGCATAGTTATATCATCTTTCAAGTTGGAAATTTATAGTTGCAATTGTCACGTTCGTTAAAAAAAATCCAATTAAGTCATATTGATATATATATATATATATATATATATATATATATATATATATATATATGTGTGTGTGTGTGTGTGTGTGTGTTTATATCTATCTATCTATCTATCTATCTATCTATCTATCTATCTATCTATATATATATATATATATATATATATATATATGTATATTGTGTATATTTTGGCAGCATATTTCCATTAAGAATTGTCTTATTGAACAATTTACACAAGTTTTGTTTATTTTCAAGAGGATCCTCTCATATTCACGGACAATTTTCTTAATATCCTTATTAAAGGAAGAGAGAAAATTACCATGTTGATACATATTCATTTATTCCGAGTATTTTCAACATTAGCAAAATGTCATCATCGGAGTGTTGTTTTTGGGTTGTTTTTTTTCTAAGGCAAAATTGTGATGTTTATTTGAAAGTTATTTTTTTTTTAACTGGGAGGTGAAAAACGCTAAGGTTATGTACCGTACGGTTTAAATTTCACGTTTGAAACCTCAGGGGAGTAAATTTGAAATGTCCATCTGTTTTTTTTTTGTTTTTTTTTTTTTTTTAAACTATTAGTTAAAACCTAGATATTTTTCAACTATATACTGTAAACATTTTAAAATATTGGTAATTCATAACTTAACTTTCATATGAACACAACAATTTGGGATTTGGGCCAACTCCGTGAGCAAATTAAAAATATTCCGGGCCGGATCCGGACTCACAATACTGAAATTTTGGATTTTTCATTACTGCGACTGTTTTCGGATTCCGCCATATTAGCTTCTACTGATAAAAACAATTAAAGGGACACAACTCTCTAGCTTTCAATAGTTGATGTTCAAATGAAAAAAATACCATTCTCAAATTACAGTGTTTCAAAAATAAAATTGTCTGTGTTTTCAACTTTACTCCTGGAGGCCGTAGCCCAACATATCAGACCATTTTGGAATCAAGCCGACTCCGTGAGTAAATTAAAAAACATTTGGATTCCCAAGTTTTCGTTACTGCAATTGTTTTCGGCTTTATTTTACCTGATTTTTGCGACGAATCTTTGGTACAATAACAATTGTTATAACTTGGAAATAAATTTGGGAATAATCGAAATTAATTGCGAAATTCACCCATGAAATAAAATAATTGTTTGGACGGAAATTAAGAACCTCCATACATCAAACTGTCTTTAAGTGTCGACAGAAGAATTAACGTTGAACTTTTAAAAGGTAAGCTTAAATATAAATGCAATACTTAAATACAGCGACTAATTTTGAGTTCTTCTGTAGTTTATTGTTGCCTATTGCATCTACTCCTCCCTACGTAGCCCAATTAAGAAGCCTCCACAGGATCTAGCTTAAGTGCCGCCCGATAGGGTGGCTTTTAAGCTAATATACATACATACATACATACATAGATACAGAGAGAGAGAGAGAGAGAGAGAGAGAGACACACACACATATATATATATATATATATATATAATTATTTTATAAAAAAATTATAACATAAGTATGTTATAAAATCACTACAAAATAGCCATTTTGTTTCAACACACTCTGTGTCTTATCAAGTGATGATGTTGAAAATCACTTGATAAGACACAGAATGTGGCTATTTTTGTAGTGATTTTATAATACACTTTATAAATAAAAATAATATATCTACTCTACTTTGTATTGAGCACTCTTTTAAGAATAGTAATTGTTGGTTATTGGAATTCATTCCGTATATACCAATTATATACTTAGGTATATATATATATATATATATATATATATATATATATATATATATATATATATATATATATATTGAGATATGTTTCATTGAATAATTTAAGTTTTGTATACTTATTTTCAATAGCACGCTGTCATCACCAGGGTGTTGTCTATTTTGAGACAAATATTGTAGTGTTCATCATTTCCAAAGACAAAATTGCAAGTTCATCTGCAAGTTAAATGTTTTTGGCTCGTGAAGTGAAGACCGATGTGTTGGGTACGGTGATGTATTGAGTAGCATTTCAGGGGGTGGGTAACTAAGTTATATAAAATCTTGTCAGTAAATATGAAAGGATCCAATTGAAAATATGTCGACAAAACTTGTCTAAATTATTTAATGAAACACGCTTCAATGATGACATGCTGCATGGTGTAGTAATGGTTAGCGGCTTGGATTGAGGAATCGGAGAGCAGAGTTCGAATTCTAGCCGAATCCATTACGTGCTAATACCCTTGGAAAAGTTATGAATCCTCTTCTCTCTCCAGGATGACAGACTGGGTTCTATAGTCTTGTAGAGCAACTGGTCTATTAGAAGGACAACCCTGAATTCAAAACCTGTGGAGGATCGTTTGTGGCACTTCGTGCACCAGGTCTCTGAATTCGGCCCTTCAAAAGTGAGGTTGGTTCGGCACAAAGCCTTCACCTTCATCAAATCGTATGTGTTGGTGTTTGGCTGTCGGTTTCTAAAAAACTGAGCTGCTTGACCCTGATGCGTCGAGCACGAATGGAGAATCGAATATATATATATATCTGCTCTACGGTTGTATTGAGCGCTTTTGTTACTTAGTTGTTTACTCGTATCGGGGATTTTTCTTTGGGCTTCAGACCTGCATCTGTGCGATTTTTTTGTCGGCAGAAGTTCATGTTTATAGCTCTTTCATTTTTTTAAAACCTTTTTTTCCCTCGAGATTGATTTGATTAGCAAATCAAAAATTCGAGGATTTTTCGAAGCGAGTTCAGTTATCTATCTATCTATCTATATATATATATATATATATATATATATATATATATATATAAAAGACAAAAGTAAAACTTATCTTGGCCGACTCGTTTTGTCCTCTGAGAGACTTTATCAGGGCAAATGCAAGAATATTACTTTGCAATAAACATTTATATACAGGAGCGAAAATGTTATTGGTTTTACAAATATTTAAATATAAGAACGTGTAAATACACCGAGAGTTTGAGTCTTGTTCATACTTTTGATCACACCAGATAATAAGAACTCTTAGAAACTTTTATTATTATTTCGCTCTGTTGAGTTGCAGTATAAACTCTGTTGGTGGACTCTGTTGGTATTGAAGAAACACTAATTTGCCTGAGTAAGGATCTGCAACAGGGAATGGCTAGCCACATTAAAAAAAAAAAACAGGCATATGCCGATACTAGCGACCAGCCATTACATCGTTATAAGTGTAAGCAATCCTAATTTTCCAAATTACAGTATTAAGCAATACTGTATTTCGCAATCCTGCAAAATTCATAATATTACGTAATATGGTATTACGCAAGAAGGTAATTTTGAATACTAGTTTTATCTACCTGTGTAACTTTGTCCATATTGTCTATTCAAATTTGTTACAGATCAAATTCGGGTTTATGGCCATATCACGTTGAAACCCCGGTTACCGTACGATCACCGTAGATAAACTACAACGAGTCTGGTCAGTAACCAGATGAGTGACCGCTTGGGAATACCAGGTGCTGTAAG